AGAGCCAAAGATAGTTACTTTTCTGCAAAAGCATGAGAATTTAAAAATTATGACTATGTGTGTCCTCACACATTCTTTAGAAAGTTTTTTAGTAACCACATTCAGCTTTTTCTTAGTCCTGACTCTTCTTTGTTCTTCTATGGTAGTAGGAATGTGCATGATGAGGGTAACAGCTACATGTTAGGAACCAGATCTTTAGTCCTTAAAAGATGTGTCTCATAGATGAGAGCTCTTCAGTGACTTAGACTAGTCTGGGTGGTGCTACTGTTACACCCTGGGTCTGGAGTGTTGGGGACTTGGTTGGAATATATCCTAAAGCCCGACTGCTACCATGGGTGCTTTGGGCAGTTGCAGTTATTTCTTCCAAGGCTGGACTGTTGCTGGCACTCCAAGGCTGGAAGCCTTCAACCCAGAGAATGTAAAAATTAGCTGCGTTTAGCCTTCGCAGCTGTGACTCAACCAAACTAGTGTTTGTCTTCTGGGAGCCACGCAGCACCCGTTTCCTTTGCCACTGCGCAGACTTCCCACAGTTAGAGGTGTGAAAGCTGATTTCAAAAATGCCGAACGTGCCCAGAGCGATTACACTAGAAGAAGCTCTGCGGGTTTGGAGCTGCCTGCATGTGTGCTGTGTCGGACAGCGAGTTATTCCCTGTGGGAAAAGTACTGGGCTCAGTATCGCGTGGCAGGGAGGAGGCTTGGGTTGTGAGCTCCGGTCATGTTGCATAGTGTTTGCAACACACCGAAGCCCTGCTCCTTCTTGATAATACCACTGACTTTGTCCCTAAAGCATCCAGGGGAGCAAGTGGTAACAGGTTGGATTTGTGTCCCTTCCCCAACTTGCAGAGAAGCTGGTGAATGGAGGTGTAGGGCAGCTGAAGGCGTGGTTAGCTCCGCATTCAGGCAGCTTTTTTCTTTCGAACACTTGGGGCAAGGGGATGATGGGCTTCAACTTGCCTTGGAATAGCAGCCGTCACTTTTGGACCCTTTCTGTCGACATCTGTTAAGTCTTCCAAGCTAGTGTTAAATATGTGGGTGAATAGAAAAGCTTAAAATAAGTTGAGAATAAGAGAAAATAAGTTGAAAATGAGGGAGAAAACACTAGGGGAGCCATACACACAGTGTATGGAGATGGAAACCGGGCTGAGTTAGAGAAGAGTGAAAGAAAGCTTATTTGAGAACAGAGATCATATCCAGAATTAAAATTCTTAAAATTAGTCATGTCTTGAGAAATTTGATAGTATAGGTGATATTCATGAGAAGTAAGCTTCCAAACTTAAGTTCCAACTTCATTCTAGTGTGGGGTTGTATACGTTATTTTTCATAGGAATTATGTCATATTAAACATCTTACTAAGTAAAATTGCACCAAAAGACCGCTTATCCAGAAGAGGCATAACCAGCTTTCTCAAGAAAGCAGTAAACTATAACAGTCAGCTGTAATCTTGGAAGATGGGGAGGAAAAAAGAGCAAAACTTCTGCTCCCTGTCATGGTTAAAATCCTGAATACATCTAAGAATACTGTCATGTGTAGGATTTCCTTTTTAAACTTATCTAAGGGTTGCTAGATGCAGATCTTTATTAGACTAGGTTGCACGCTTAGGTCTGGCTTTACATTTTGCTTATCTCAGGGTCTTCTAAAGGTGGATCCATGAGGTTGGGCAATTGCAGTCCAAAAGCTTGAGGAGTCAGAAAAAGTTCTAGGGTGTCTTAAAACGGGCAGCTCATTGCTTTGAGGGGAGGAATTGATGACCTAAATTGGCAAGCTGCAACCAGGTATCACCTCGCGATGTGCTAAGGAAGAGGTTTTCCAGTGAGAAGCATGGAGATGGTGAAAGAAGCACTGGCTTCTTGGCTGTGGTTCCAGCTTCTGTATCACAAGATTGGAGAAGACTCATCTTCCTCTCGCCTTCCCCTCTTTCTGCTCTACTGTTATCTTTTTGTTCTCTTCATTGGAATGACTTGTTTCCACACCTGTTTTTCATCTTAAACACAACAGGTGTGGAAACAACAGGAATTGTATGTGTGTGTGCATGCATGCATTTTGAAGGCCAGGGAGAAAAGGTGTTTGAAAATAACTCCCTCCATCCTTTTTTTTTTTCCTTTTCCGCTTTTGATTATTTAAGCTTAATGAATACGTAAATTAAATGTATTCAGATCTAGAAGTCATGAGAGGAACAAAACTTAATTGTGGTTTCTGGTAAGCTTTGTCTTAACGAGTTTCTGGTAAGTCGACTTTAGCTGACCAGGAATGTTACACTGAAGTCTGTATTATAATTTAGTGTGGTTGAAAAGGAGGGTTAAGTTTCTAAATGAACTTTTAAGGAAGGTGTTTAATTGATTCTGAAGTTGTGGCCAATTGTTACGGTAACTATTCCTAGTAATAAACCCTTGAAATGGCCCTGAATCGTGGAGGATTTGTTAGCTGTTTATTTCAGACTTACAATGCACCTTCTAGACTTCATTTTAGAAATGATCAAGAGTATCAACTCTAAAATGAATTAAATTCATCTATGTTCAGTGTTGAGACTAATATGTTAATTTAACTGTGACTTCATGTTTATTGGGTACTTGTATTGCTTATTTTTTAGCTCAGTTTCGTACCTTTAATAATTTCCTTTGATCTTAAATACTGAATTTAGAAAAAGATACATTGCGGAATTTAGATTCTTTGAAGAAGAAAGATTTTTGGAACAGAAGAGATACTACCATCACTTTGACTTTAAAAGTTGCTGCTGCTTCTGCATCAAATTGCCTGGGCTTCATACTCACATCAGGTGAAGTTGCTAGTTCCTTGGCTTATTCCCTGTTAAAATGCTAATTAAAGATCTATTTTGAGGATAGGGCGTTATTTTTCATTCAGATTGAGTCAATTTTGATCACTCCCCCAAACTTATTTTTGGTGAATTCTCACTGTTTGCCAAATCTGTTTCTAAAATAGTATTACACCTTTTTGTTCAATCAATGTTTGATGGAAATATGAAATGATTTTCATGTTCAGGAGCACCTGCGTTTCTCCCGTTTGTTCCTTATTCTATATCTGGACAATTGTACTGTTGCAGTTACAGAAACCTCTATTCCTACCTCATGCTGCGCTACATTCAGCTTTTCCTAGACCAATCCCTCCTCATCCCTACCTGAGTCTGAACTTCCAGGAAGGTATCCAGAGTCCTCATGTTTTCGTTGCTCAGTTTCCAGACATCCTGATTGCAGCCATCCGTCACACACAGGCCGTTTCTAGGAGGGGTGCAGCATAGCTCCCACGTCTTCTCTTCACTTCATCTACTGCTTTTGTCTTAATTTTGATCTTTTCTAAATAGTACCTATCCTTCAGTGGTTGTACCCTACTTAGGACTGCTGTTCCTTGTTGTTTATGCTTTTATAGTAATTGCAGCTTTGCATATTTCACCAGGAGTTCAAGTTTGTTCCCTAGGCAGGTGACGAACAACCCTGCCACTAGCCATGTTGTACACCTGGCTATGATTTTTCCTAATATTAGGACTAATTTTTTCTTTGGCCATTCTTAATCTGCTGATTATTTTTTTCCTCTGTTTGCTGTGTCGTCTTGTGTACTAAAACAGGGTGTGACAATTAAATGACTCTTTCCAACTTTCCCTTGTTTCACATTGCAAAGCTATTCTTTTTTATGCCGATGTTGATCTTGGCTAGATCACAAATGTATGTGTGGTTTTTTTATCGTTTTCACTAATAAGTTTCTAGTGTTTTATTATTTTGTAAATGACAGTAAGGAGTTGTTTTTTCCCCTTAGTTTTGCTGCTTTTGAATTGCAGCTTTCTTCTAAATATAGATTTCGCATTCTTTGATTTCCACCTCAGTACAACGTTTTGTAACTGTTTAACAAGCAAAAAAAGACGTAATTTTATTTTACTCTTACTAAATTGAAGGGATAATCAAGCTAATTATGATGGATTTCTTTCTGTTTATAATTTAAGGAGATGTGCCCACTGACTTTAAATGCTTGCTGTTGAATTGAATGAGTGGCCAGAAGAACTTGAGTACAGTCCTAGCTGTAAAACTGTTTGGTGTCTGCTTCCTTTTCTCTCTCCGAAGACTCTCTTGGAGGAGCTTTAGTGGCTTGAGAAGGCTTCTTTTTTAACCAGTTCTGTTTTTTCTATCCCTTTGACTTCTGTCCTCTCTTGAGCTCCCTCTGGCCAGCTAACAAGATGGAAAATTCAGCAGAGGTGCAGTCTTTTCACATGTCTCTGGTTCCAGCCACAGCATTGTCCTTCCCTTTAGGATTTGGGCAGGTGGCTCCTTGGTTTTTAGGAGACATAAGCAGTACAAAAGCTTTATAAGCTTTTGCCACGTTTTTGGTCTGTCTCCAAGCTGCTCTTTGCGGCTCCGTGGCTGATGAGCTCATGTCCACTTGGCCTCTGGTAGAACAGCAGATGCTTTGCTGTCAGAGTATTGCCATTTTTTTTCTGTTCACCTGTTTTTAATACACTTGGTAGTTGCCATGTGAGTTCTGTATGACTGATAAAAAACGTGCTGTAGTTTTTATTCACGCTGATGGCATATAATAACTTCCCCTCAGAAAGAGGTTACTTAGTGCTGCGTTGCAGTGCTTGCTGGTTATTACCATGCATTTGTGGCTTTGATCCTGGGCAGTAATGGATTGTGCACCCCTGTCCATTTCCATTTGCACGGTCTGGTAAGATGCTGAGGAAGTCTGTTACACAGCTTTCTGCTCGCTCGGGTGCTGATTATGATAAACTGGAAGACTGATGAGAAGAAAGGGAGAAGCCAGAGGTATGGAGGAAGCGCTTAGGGCATGGTATTCAGCTGTGGTTTGCCTGACACCTGGGACTATGAACAACTTCTGGGCACATGGGAATAGCGGAGTTTTAAATAAACTGAACTGGACTCTTTGTGGAAAGGTGGCTGGTGATCTTGATGTGTGTAGTTACTGTGGCATCAGCAGCAGCTGCATGAGGTCTCCTTGGTGGTGCAGCCTCCTGGTAAATGTGGCCGCAGCGATCCTCCATGGAGGAAGCCAGCGATACACAGACAGTATGTGCTGTAGCGTACCTCCGTTGTGATTGTTTTGCCCAGCAGATACAGGGTTGACATGCTAGTTGACGTGTTTCTTCTGGGCAGCTGCAAGCTTAAAAAGTGTCAGGGTAGAGGAGTGAGGAATTTTGATCTGCAGACAATAGTCCTTCAGTTACTTCTTCCAGGAGCAGTTTTCCAAGGAAAAGCCCTTTGACAGTCTGCACTCACCTTCCTTCTCCTCGTTCCATGGCTTGGTTTGGTCTGAAGGGCTGTGTGTTTCTGAGAACAAGGTAACTACTTGTGGCCGAATGGCAGTGAACCAGGTTCACTAGCAAAGTTCACCGGGTTCACTAAGGGTGAAGCCAGTTGAAAAGTCTCTGGCTTGACTGTGCACACAAAGGAACAAGAGCTAGAATTACATACCAGGGGCTTAGATGCTCTTTCTAGTGCTTCCTGCTCTCCAGTATGGATTTCCTGGCACTAGCTTCCATTTTCTCCTTTTTGCTCCCCTCTCTCCTATCTTTGCTTCCCCACATCTGTGGTGCTGGAATTACTGCTGGCTGTTCAGGAAAAAATGTTGTGGCTCCTGGGTTGGGAGCCAGGCAATACCATTTCCTATGTCCTCAACTGGTCTGGCTCTGAGGCGAACCAGGGAACCTGTGTCTGTGGATATTATGGTTAGCAAAGGCTAGCCTATATATAGTTTGGTGGATGGCTTTAGGCAAGCTATGGTAAACCATGATCTTTTTTGGAGAGAAGGAATGAGAGGGATTACAGTGACAAGCTTTCAAAACCAACAATTAGTTTATGTTTTCAAAGTACGTCCGCAAGTGGGGAGGTTGCAAAAACGCGTAATATTTTACAGTCCTTAATGTAGAAATCTGTGGCTTTCTTTTCTTGTTCTTTTTGTTTTGTTTTGTTTTTAAGTATATGGGACTTGATTTTAGGCTTCGTTGTGTTTAGAAACTGCACATCATGTTGGACATGCAGCCACTCAGGGAATGTGCTGATCTGTTGGCATGTATAAAAGAGACAAAAAGCTTGTGTGTCCTTTGAGGGTATGAGGGATGCAGAGTACCCAATACCATAATATACCCAGTAACATTTAACTTACCCTTCTTAGCAACCATGCAGATTTAAGTCGGACAACTCCACTGCGGGACACAAGCTGTTTGTCTGAAGGTCTCAATCAATTAAGAACTCGTTTGAACAGAGCTCTGTTTACAGATCAGCATTTTTTATGTGAGTGGGAGACAAGTAGCAACAGTAAACTTAACAGTATTTTTATTCATTGACGTGACAGATTTCTTCTGTGATAATTGTCTGAGCACCGTGGGGCCTTCTGCAACCTGACCATGCACAGCAGGCTCAGTGGGAGAAGACTTGAATGGCAGATTCTATTGTTTTCCAAGAGTGTATTTTCAAGCCCAGGGTTGGAAGCACTGGAGGTGCACTGCAGTCCACAAAATATTAAAGCTGTTAGGTTAGGTGCCCTTTCTCTCCTAAAACTGCTCATTTCCTGTATTTATGTGGGTAAGTAAAATTCCAATGGTCAGTGTCAGATTCTTGTTTCAAAGGCAAGACCTTCCAGATAATAATACCTCAATGCCTGCTTCACACACGTGGTAGTTCTTGTTTATCTCTTCTTTCTTGAAGCCAGATTTCTAGTATGGTTCTTACAGCATTAAACCGTGGATATCACTAGCAGCTCTGTTACCCTACTTTTTGGCTCGTTGGTGTGAAGCTACTGCTTCATAACAAACGAGGGAGTCTCACCAGTAGCTCCTGATTCAGATGGGTTTGAGCGTGTTGATAGAAGCAGCATAAAACCTGTCTAGAGTTTGGGCCAGCTTCTCACACCTTCGTGACCTGTAAGTTGAGCTGAAACAGCCATAAGGAGCTTGGGTAGAAATTCTTCATGGGGAAAGTCTTTCCTGAGAGAAGAGCCTCTGCTCCCCTCTTGCCCCTTGTGTTTTGGCACGTGTGGAGAGTTTGGGGTCAAGGAAAACGGAGCTGTTGCCTCCCTCTTGCTGTTACTGATGTTTCTCCAATAGCAGAAGTTTGAATGAACACTTTCTACTACGGCAAAATGACACATGGGCATGATGCATATATGAGCATATAGAAAAGACTAAGAATCCAACCTTGGAAGAAAATTCTTGCATTGGTGGGATACTCTGTAATATTTGAATCTAGTATTCTAGTATGCAGAAGTATTTGGGAGACAAAGATAGATTTAAAGGGGGGAATGAAAGTATTAACGTGGTCAGGATCATCAGCTGTAGCATCAACATGCATGTGCCTGCATGATTTTACAGAATCAATTTTATGTTATTTTTCTAGCAAAGGGCTGTATAGTTGTGCTGTGTCTGTCCATCTGTCAGGCTCTCCTTTGTTAAGTTTTGAAAACACTGTTGTTTCAGGTAAGCTTGAAAGAGTTTTGGAAATCTCAGAAACTGAGACTCCTGTAATGCTTGTGGTAACAGCTTGCCTTGTGGCAAGAGGCCAAATGGCGTTGCAAAGAGACCAAATTAGTTCTGCAAATGCTTTTGGGAAGGAGGTCCTAAGCATGAAAGGTGCTTACTTGAAAATGAGTGATAGTGGAGGCAGCCATCCTAAGTAAATTGAAAAATACTGTTATTCCTGATTTTAAGCAAAAATGTGATTTAAATTAATATAGTGTAATCCATAAAATCTCTTAAGCCCTTCATCCTAACTTTTTACACTGTGACAAGAGATACCTTTAGTATTTGTCTGTTGTGAGAAACAATAGTTTTGATGCATTGAAGAACTTTGGCAAGGTAGCAACTTTTCTTCACGTGCGAACATACTTGTCTGGTCCCCATAATTGTTTTACCACACGATCTAAACATATGTTGAAAAAAAAGTGCAGGCATTTTTGCTGACATTATAACTGTTTAGGTTCTTTGTGTTGAAATAAATTTCCCAAACAGTTTATGCAGCTGGAGAGGGCTGGATAAAATTTCCGATTGATAGAGAGGAGCAGTAGGTGTGATCCCGTGATTGACTCTTGACTGCCATAGGGCATGTTTCTGGCCATCTGTACTTCAGGTCCTTTAGCAAGCAGTCAATGTTACAAAACATCATATGCTGAATATCTATGTTTTGCCTTTGGAGGCTCTTTCATATCACCTTGTATCCTCAGGAAAATGAAAGAGAAATTTCACACACCAGAGTATGAACTGCCGTTACATGTTGTGAGGCCCCGGTACGCCTGTTTCACCAATTTCAATTAGGAGATCTGGACATTAAACAACCCTTTTTCTTAGCTAAGGTGTACATCTTTACCTTACACTTGGGAAACCAGCACTTACACACAACATCATTGAAGGATTACACAAGTTTTTTCTTCTGGCTGAGAAGGGACAGTGAAATTATTATGGTGGTCTGATTCAACAAAATAAAATCTGAATAAAGCTGAAAATCAGCTCTTTCATTACTTTTCCATTTACAACTGTTGCCATCTCACTGAACAAGTAGACTTGGGAATATATCTTGATGTGAAACGTTGCAAGGAGTGGGGAAGAAAGCTATACAGTTTGGTTTGTATTGAGTTGGACATCCATTTAGTTTCTTTTTTTCTGTAGGAGATCCGTTTCTTAAGGTACCTCTTGTTGCTGAGAGCGTACAAGTTTGCAGTTGTTTTCAAAACATTCTAATTTGTACTTTATTAACATTTTCATAGATATTGTTGAGTGTCATTATTGAAATGATTCAGCACTCTAAAGAGCTCTGATACGCAATGAGCAAGAAAACGTTGCATCTGTTTTACCTACTGTTTTTTGGCTGCCTGTCCTTCAAACTTGTTTTTCTAAGGAGTGAAATCTCTGCATGTTAGACTAATTACTGCATGTCAATTCCTTAACTTTTAAAAATGCTTGGATGTCAGCTATGCAAAAGTAATGAGACATGCAGTGATGTAGCCAGGGGTCCAAATATCTGCTACGCATGTGCAGTTGAAATGACCATATAAAATGAATGTGGTCCTAATTGTTGTCGCTGTAGCAAGCCATGGATTACTGTTCCCCACACACTGTTGACTTTAAATATTGTGGTGAACAATATTAATGAGCATCGATGGTCCAGGGACCTTAAAACTGTTGCCAATTCATAATTGCTCTTTGCCACATATATTTACTTACACCTGTTCAAGGGTCAGTCAAAGTGATACCAGGTGAGTTAAATCCATAAACTATTTCCTCTTTCCTGTTATTGTTGGGGCCTGACTTTGAAATCTGTGGAAGCTTTGCTGTTGCCATAATTCAGAGGAATGGGCTGTTTGTTCTTAAACATTCTCTTCCTTAGGAGGAGGTCTGGTTCTGCTTCCACTTTGCCCTCCTGGGTTATGGGATGATCTCTTCCAACACTGAGCTGTGCAAGTACAGGTGTCCCTTCTAATCACATAGTAAGAATAACCAGATTTGTGTACATTTCCCACTTTATCTTCTTTTTATTTTTTTTTTTTTTGTGCTTTTAAAGCCTGAGACTGCAGCTGTGCTGAAGCGCACTGTTGAGGCTCTTATGGAGAGAGGAGCCATTGTGAGGAACCTGGAAAACCTGGGAGAAAGGTCGCTACCTTACAAAATCTCCAAGCACAACGAGCGCCACAGAAGAGGAGGGTATGCATGATGTGTTTTTCCTTAAAGTCCTTTAAGTGCTCCGTTAGAAATGTACGTATGTAACTCTCACTGTTTGATCTTCCGTGTGGTTTTCGGGAGTACGCCATAATGTCTGTGATCTCAGTAAGATGGTGCGTGGCCATGTGTGCATGAGTGCATTCTGCTTCAAGTGTTTTGTTTTGATTCTGTGTGGTGTCGGCTTTTTGGTGGTGTTTAGTTGTGTTACGAGTAGCCTGAGTCCAGGCCTACAGAACTACTTTCCCCGATGTACACAACGTTATTTTATGTCATTTTTATGTAACTGTTTTGCAAGCCAGTCAGACTGTTTACTGATAAAAGTCCTACTTAATCTGCTGGTTGCTAATTGGCAGGATCGATTCTTTTCCTCTAATGCATCTGAACTAAACGTTAATTGCCATGTGTATCCTGTAAGACTTGGTTGTGTTTCTAACACGGTTTTTGTTAAGGATGTTAGAGAGGACTGTGTGGTTTACGGGAAGTACAATAAATGTAAGTGAAGCTGTGAATTGGCATCTCGGATGTCATGCTTCCCCCGTGGTGTTGGAGGAAGGTGCTGCGGATCGCACTCCAGGCTCGCTTACACCGGTGTGTTGTTGCTCCTCGAGGCTACCTCTGAAATGGATGCTGGCTCTTGCAAGGACTGAGAAATGTTGCTAGGCAACTCATGCTGCACGGGCTCCCTGCAGTAATCAAAATAACAATTAGCTACATGCTCCTCATAATCCCTGTAATGCAACTACGTGTAATCGGATGGTTGGCCAACCTGCCTACCTACCCTTTGGTACTGGGGAAGGCGAAGTGACTCCGGAGGTGCACCTTTTATGAAGCCTTTCTTGGATCATCTCACGAGGTGACTCACAGTTTCTCTCCCTCTTCTGAGGACCTCTTCATTCTTCTTCAAAGTGGGAGTGGTGACAGCTGCCAGTTAGAGCAGACTGACAGAAGGGGTAGGGAAGAAAATCTCTACCACGTGCCTGTTACTTAACCAAAAGCAATGGCGTTGTGGCCGTGGCTGTCTTGGTACTCCTGCTCCATGATGTCCTTCAAAACATAGCTTGATCCTGCCAGTTTTGCATTTTAGCATTAAGTCCTGTTGCCTACACATGGGAGCTAATCAAAGCCTTATCTCAAGACAGAATTACTAATTACATTATCCTTCTGTTGGATTACAAGTATTTTATGAACATTAAAATCTTTTCTGACCGCTTCAGCAGAACGAGGAGCTGGTGTTACTGTCTTTGTACAGGTGGGGAGCTAAGGCAGAGGGACAAAGTTCCACTAGTTTTGGATGCCGAATTTGAGACTTTTAGCTTCTAGATTTATTTTTTTCCTAACATTCTTAAGACTCTGTAAATTTCACCACATTGGATGACAGTTTCCACTTGGCATGGGTGGCAGTGCTTCTGCAGGTTAGGTCTTGGATTCTTCAACAGGGAAACCAGGCCAGGAGAAGACTAACCAGCATCACAAGAACTATGTAGCAGAGATGAATAGAAGCCATTTCTCCAGGGGATCTTTCAGATGTGTAAACTAGCTTAACTCATTTACTGCAACAGATTACCTACTTAATAAGCAGGACGAGGGGATCTGTAGACTATAACCCCCTTATCATAAAATGTTTTGAGTTGGAAGGGACCTTAAAGATCATCTAGTTCCAACCCCCCTGCCATGGGCAGAGACACCTTCCACTAGGTCAGGTTGCTCAAAGCCTCATCCAACCTGGCCTTGAACACTTCTAGGGATGGGGCGTTCACAACTTTTCTAAGCAACCTGATGCAGTACCTCACCACCCTCAGAGTGAAAAATTTCTCCCTTAGGTCTAACCTAAATCTACCCTCTTTTAGTTTAAAGCCATTACTCCTTGTCCAGTCACTACAGGCCCTTGTCAAAAATCCTCCTCCAGCTTTCTTGTAGGCCCCCTTTAGGTACTGGAAGGCTGCTAGAAGGTCTCCCTGGAGCCTTTTCTTCTCCAGGCTGAACAACCCCAACTCTCCCAGCCTGTCTTCATAGGAGAGGTGCTCCAGCCATCTGGTCATCTTTGTGGCCTTCCTCTGGACTCATTCTAACAGCTCCATGTCCTTATGTTGGGAGCCCCAGAGCTGAACGCAGTGCTCCAGGTGGTGTCTCTCCAGAGCAGAGTAGAGGAGGAGAATCACCTCCCTCGACCTGCTGGCCACACTTCTTTGGATGCAGCCCAGGATATGGTTGTCTTTCTAGGCTGCAAGTGCACATTGCTGGCTCATGTTGAGCTTCTCATCAACCAACACCCCCAAGTCCTTTTCCTCAGGACTGCTCTCCATTCATTCTGTGCCCAGCCTGTACTTGTGCTTGGGATTGCCCTGATCCATGTGCAGGACCTTGCACTTGGCCTTGTTGAACCTCATGAGGTTCTCACAGGCTCACTTCTCAAGCCTGTCAAGGTCCCTCCGGATGGCATCCCGTCCCTCCGGATGGCATCCCATCCCTCCAGCATGTTGATTGCACCACAAAGCTCGGTGTTGTCAGCAAACTTGCTGAGGGTGCACTCAATCCCACTGCCTATGTCACTGACAAAAATGTTAAACAGCACTGGCCCCAATACTGACCTCCAAGGAATGCCACTTGTCACTGGTCTCCACTTGGACATCGTGCCGTTGACTGCAACTCTCTGAGTGTGACCATCCAGCCAATTCCTTATCCACCAAGTGGTCCATTGGTCAAATCCACATCTCTCCAATTTAGAGACAAGGATGTTGTGCAGGACAGTGTCAAATGCTTTGCACAAGTTCAGGTAGACAATGTCAGTTGCTCTTCCCTTATCCACCAACGCTATTGAAGGCCACTGAATTTTTCAGGCACGATTTGCCCTTAGTGAAGCTGTGTTGGCTGTCACCAATCACCTCCTTTTTTAACTTGTACCTTAGCATAGTTTCGAGGAAGATCTGTCCATGATCTTGCCGGGCACAGGGATAAGACTGACTGGCCTGTAGTTCCTTTTGCAGAGTCCTCAGAGCAGATCTATTTTGTGTTCTGAATGAGGCAAGGTTTTAGTAGCAAATAATTGCAATCATGTCTTGAAACACAGGCAGGAAGCCATCAGATTAATGTCACCATCACTGTTCCTCCTCCACCTTCCAGTTCAAGTGTCTCTTAAGTATTCAGCAGTCATTCTACTTGCCCTGAATTTGCATCCTCTGTGTTTGAATGTGGCAATTCCCTCCGCTAAATTGCTTGACTTCTTGAAAGGAAGAAGTGATTGAGAGAGGGTACTACAGGAAATACATGTTTTGTGTGCTTTTAATTGGAGAACTCAATTTCGGGTGAAATGAGATATTACGAGGGGAAGCAGAAGGCAGTTTCAGTACCTCACAATGTGGGAGAATTGTGTTTCTGTAGATTTTGCTAGGGAAATTGCAGTTCAGTGTTTAGGTGGTGGATTCCTGATATAGTATCCAATATTTTATGGTCTGGAGAACAACTTGCTCAGGATATTAAAGATAATCTAGGAATAGGAAGTGAAAAGTCAGTTCTTGATCCACCTTATAAAATCGGTCAGTTCTACTTTACAGCATCTGTAAAATGTAATAATTTTTTTCAACAGGACAAAGTTAAAGAAAAAAGCTTTTAAAATACCTCACGAAGCAGAATATACACCTGTACATACAAAGAAGTGCTAAGATCTTTTCTCCTTTATGGCCAATTTTTAATTCTGTCTGTGTCCCCTTTCTTAGCAAATCGGTGTGGAGTATTAAGTAGCACAGAGTGTGTCACCTTTTCCTTAGCCTGGGCTTTTTCTGAAGTTAACTGAGAGGGCTCCTGTGAGAGTGCAAATGATACTGTGTGTCTTGGGGGAGTGTTGGATCTTCCAAAGCTTTTCATTTCAGGGTTTTTTGTTTACTTTCTTAATATATATATAATTTTTATTTTTTTTTAGCTTTGTGATTCTTAGCAGAGCTTCACCTAATTTATTTATTTTCCAGTAATGTGTAGATGGTTGGGGAATGTTGTGGTTTAGTCCAGCGGGTAATTAAACACCAAGTAGTTGCTCGCTCACCCTCTCCCACCCCCGGGGAATGGAGAAGAGAATTAAAGGGGAAAAGGGAAGGAGACTCATGAGTTGAGATAAGAACAATTTAATAATAACAGTATAAAATCAAAAGTAATAATGATAAAATAATAATAATATGTGAAATAAATATATAATGATGATGATATATACAAACAAGTGATGCACAGCATAGTTGCTCACTATTCAGTGACCAACACCTGTCCAGTCCTGGCAAGTGATGCTGAAACAGTTAAGTCCTGACAACACAATCCTGGACAAGTGAGAGACCTGAAAAGAGACCAAGAGAGAGATGGAACTCCAGGAGCCCTTGAAAGCCTGTTATGCTCCTGCACACTGGCAAAAACACAGCAAGCTAAAAAGTCCTTGATGTCTCAGCACCAACTATAAACATCAGTGCACTATCAACATTCTTCTCATAACAAATCCCAGACTAAATCCAAAACACAGAGCTCTTCTAGCTGCCAAAGAGAAAAACTAGTGCTGTCTCAGTCGAAACGAGGACAGGGGCGTAGGATGTATGCTGAATCTGTTACTTCCTTAGACCTCCTGGCTGGTAAATTATATGAAAATTAGTGGAATACAATATTTGTAGCAACAAATTTTATGAAAATTAGTGCGATACAATAGTCATAGCGTGGGTCACAGCTTAACAGTGTGTCCCTTAGAGACAGCTCTTGTTCTAGTGACTACTGCACGAACCATTTTCCTGTCACTCGGAATGGCATGGGATCCCCCTGACCTGTGTGGTGTGTTTGCCTGAAAACCAAAGCTAAGGAATCTTCCTCACCAGTGCAGTGATCTAGCTTTGCTGCCTTACAGAACTCCCAGAGCTCTCCAGGCTGTGTGTCTCAACGTTGAATCAAGGGCGATCAGTAGGGCAGCGCCAGCTGTTCATAGGTCAACTGAGACATGCTCTGTGCATGCCTAGTAG